TGGTTCATTCACAGACGCTTTGCCGGCATCGTGAGGAACGCTGGTATAAAGTTGAGTAAGAACTATTTAAGCTTGATTGAAAGATTGAAGGAGAAAGGGGATGTTGAGGCGCCATCCAAAAGAAGGCGACTCAAGTTGTCTGCTCAGTGATGGTTTTAACCTCATAAACACACTCATCCAACATGTTGGGTTAAGCTCATCAACCAAACCGGATGCACGAGATTATGCAGCCCCAGCCATGCCTCTCCTTGGATGCTTAAACTTTAATGACCCCAGATTAAGGGTTTAGGACAAGTGGTTTCGTAGCTTGTCTCACTCGCCTAAAAGTTTGCATCTCATCTCAGCCAGAGTTACTTACGAACTCACGCAGTCTCGGTAGAGGCCATGTTTTCTTGGGTCATTAAGTCTTAATGATCCAAGTCTGACATAAGGCTTTTTTGGTTTAGTATCAGTTTTGCGTATAATTGTTGACACACAGACACACACATATATACACACTCAGGTAAAAGTACCATGACCAATTTAAGAAGAAATGGCTGAATCATTCTATATCTATCTCTCTACGTCTATACTTTTTAGCCTTTTAGTTGTGAGTATGCATCAGATGTACGATATAACCGGAAAATCTTCGTAACTGTACATACGTATGAATTAACTTATTGTCAATTGTTTCGTTCAAAAGTTGGTTTTTGGCGGCTACCAGATGATCATATATAATCAGATTTACTCACCTTTTATCTTTTAAGGTAATAGGTGGCTGGTGGTTTACTTTTTACCACAATGATATAAATAGACCTCACATTGCCATTAAGTCTCTCATAGCCTTTCTTTCCATGAAGGTATTCTCATTCTGGCTGGAGTGGACAGCAATTTCAACCTCGCCGACGTCTTATCAACACACCTGACCTGACTCAAACAATAACAGTACAGTGTATAATCTTGAAACGTGAACCACTACCTCAAATTACCACGAGCACCCTTGGGTAATAGGAAAAATGTAAATTTCAATAAAATTCAGGCATTTTCTTATATTGCATTTTTTGGTGGGACCATCGATGAAATAAAGTTATATTACCTATACTAATCGACTGCATTACTTATTTTTCGTTTATAAGTGGGACCTCGAGACTACTAGTAAATCAGTTAAATGAGATGTATTCACCCTATTTCGTTTAAAGAGATAAAGGACTGGTAATTGTATTTTTCCTCAATGATATGAGTGGGTCTAAACTGCAGTCCAGTCCAGCCGGAGTGAGAATACCTTTAGGGAAAACAAGGCTATGTGAAATTCAATGGAAATGTAAGGTCTACTAACATCATTGTGAGAAATATTCAACTACCAGTCTTCTTATCACCTTAGACGGAATAGGGTGAATGCCATTTTTGAAGTTTATCTTCTCGAAGCATTTAAACCAAGAAAAATAAAGCACAAAGGGTATAATTAGATTTTTAAAATTTTTACTGCTCAGAATGTCGTTTACTCGGTAGACGTTTTGATCTAGCGAGGTCTACCAATAGGGAACTTGATCAGGTGTCGTGTGGTTTGTTTAAGAAAGGCTTAAGGAAAGCATTATCAGGCCAAGCGGATTAATTGGAACCTAAGCCAGTCTTAGACAATCCTTGTCTGAAGTAATGACTGCTGAGCATCTCCTTAAGTTACAGGATATGGATGATGGTTTAGGAGAGGCTACGGATAAAATGCATAGGCCCATATACGATAAGAAGGTCAGGAACTTAGGAAAAAGAATTAGATCGATACATTATACGTCTAAGGTAGGTCATAGTAAAAATATTTTTTTAGCAAACTTCGGAAGGATAATGTAATCAATTTAATTAGTATTACTTTGGAAGATTATGGGGAACTTTTATTGGAATGAGATCTGCATTTTGCTCTTTCAAATGAAGTAAACCATTTTTTTGACAAACTTGTTGAATTAATTGGCCTATCTGATAGATTGCCTAAAGAGGTGAAGAATAGCACCAAGCTGGAGGTGATCCTTCATTATTAACATATAATCCCGCTATAGAAAGCCTTTACTCTTACTAGGATTTTTATATATTTATGTGGTAATAATCTAATCGTTATGAAAGCCGACAAAGGTGGAGCAGTGGTAGTCATGGCTAAATTAAGTTATCTATTTAAAATGCTAGTTAATTTAATTGGCACTGACACGTATATACCTTTAATAATAAATTCAGCGGAAAGACTTAAGACTAGGCTAAAGGCTGCTTTTAAGGTAGGCGTAAGTAATGGTGAAATTGACAAATGGAAAATGAATTAACTACTCCAGACAAATGCAAGGATCCTCCCGGCCTTCGGTCTTCCTAAGGTTCACAAGGAGGGGCCTTCTTATGTTAATTATTAATAATAAAGGTAGCGTGATGAGTAAAATTTCACGTCTTTATGAAAACCTCTATAGAAAGCTGCGGATTTCGGGCTATATTCGGTTAAGAATTCTTATAAGTTTGTAAAATTGGTTAATCAGCAAATAATTTCAAAGAAAGTAGGCTAGTTAGTTCTTTATTGTGTCCCTGTACACAATATTCTTGTTCAAGCATCAATTTAGGCTCTAGTACAAACTCTGGATGAGCATCCAGAGAAAATAAAAGGAATACTGTAAAGTTTAGCGTCCATACATAGACTTCTAACCCATCCATGAGTAGCAGTTATTTTACCTGTGGTGGTGAGTTTTATGAACAGACACAGGGACTTTAGAAGGGATCTTGCTTAGTTCCCCATCTTGGCAATTAATTAGATATTTCGAAGGCATGAAGACCGAGATGGTGTTGCCTTTTGTATGGTTGCGGCCTCCGTTCGTTGTATAGAAGCTATTTGATCTTGTTTTCGCAACTTGGTCATATTGGCAGGAAGACCTAGAGGAACGCACCATGTGGACGTGCTACATTCCCAGACGTTTGGCCTTGATCGTCATCGGAATCGTCAGTGAGTCTTACCATTGACAAATAATCCACTTCAGATGAAGCAGGTGACCAGAGATGGATGTCCACTGTCTGCTCAGTGTAGACAGGTTTAATGTAGGGGATGATGAGTCAAGGTACTGCCTAAAATCAGCAAGCATGGGAATCAGAGCCTAGGCGTTTTGCAGAATAGGCGACTTTGTAAGTGCTACTGAAGGCTTGAGAAATAGTACTTGAAGTAAAAGTACGCCGAGGCTGGAACCGAGTGAAAACGGTCAGCCAGAAAGATAAGAAACGGACCCACGGGCCCATGAAGCGGATCCGGACAGGAGACTAGAGCAGGATCAGCCACTCGAAATGGTAGGAAGCAAGGCAAATAGCGAATGCGATGATGCAAAGGTAAATTCGCCAAAAGAGCACATCTATTGTAGAATATAAACATGTCAGAAGTTGTGATAGGACGAGGGCAAGACAAGAGGGTAGGAAATGGTTAGAGAGACCAGGACAGATCAAAGAGGGATAGCACGACCGTTTTGACAGAAAGTTGGTAAAAGGAATTGACGTCACTTTTCTGTGACGAGTTAAAGCTTGGTTGCTGAGACTGGCAAGACTCACTGATGATGCCGACTACAATGTCGGCGAAATATCTGGGAATTTCCTAAGTCTACGGTCCGACTCTGGAAATGATCATGCATACTATGAACTTCGCACAAGGTGCGTTCC